AAAAAAAAGGAACAATTTATGCTTCAAATCTATCTGTTGCGAATCCGATAGTGTGGATATGACAATTGTGCAACAGTGGAAAGAAGAAACTCTGCCAAATTTATTAAAGGGCTATAATCCAAGTGACATATTTAATGCGGACGAAACGGGATTGATTTTCAACCTATTGCCATACAAGACATTGACAATTAAAGGTGAAAATTGCCATGGAGGAAAGCTTTCAGAAATGCGCTTTACTGTTTTTCTCTGTGCAAATGCCGATGGAAGCCAAAAGTTAACGCCTCTTGTGATCGGTAGAGCAGAGAAACCACAGTGTTTCAAAAATATCAAAAGTTTTCCTACCGATTACACTTCAAACAGAAAAGCATGGATGACGCAAGCATTATTTAAAAATTTTCTTCGAAAACTGGATAAGAAAATGAATTTTCAAAAGCGCAACATAATTTTATTCCTAGACCAATGCACTGCTCATTTAAACCTTAAATTGAAAAACGTGCGAATAAAGTTTTTTCCAGCTAACTGTACGAGCAAACTTCAACCACTGGATTTAGGAATTATACGATCATTTAAAGAGAGTTGCCGGAAGCAACTGGTTAGAAAATCACTAATGTTTCTGGATTCTGGTGACTTTCAGGATGCTTCTAAGGCAAAAATTAATGTTCTTGAGGCTCTTAATTTGATATCTTCAGCTTGGGACAGTGTCGACCGAAAGTGCATTATCACTGGATTCAATAAAGCAGGATTTTCAATATCGGAGGAGGAGAGTGCTGTTGTTTTAGAAGAAGAAGGTAGCGTGTCTGAAGTTGAGGACCTTCCGGAAGTCGATGATGCATATATCGACTGTGACACAGATATCATTACTTCAGAAATCCCTTTCATAAGTGATTTAATGCCTGATTCCGACGATAGTGCTGATGATGAAATAACAGAAGACGAACCAACAGCTGATCAAGCAATACCAACCATTAAAACTCTAAAACAATTTTTACTTGCAAATGTAAATCAAGAAGCAAATTTGCAAAAAGTTGTTAGTGTTGAACAAGCTGTATACAAGATTGTAGCTAGAAATGAGAAGCAAGTAAAGATTACTCATTTTTTCCATTAATTTATCTGGTAGGTGTCAATTTTTTAAAATATGCATAGATTTTTCTTAACCCCGATTTTACGTTATTCCGCTTCGAGCGTTTTTTATCGCTAGTCCGACGGAAAACGTAAAATCGGGGTTTCACTGTATTTTGTTTTAACTTATTTTCTTTTTCACTATTGTTTAGTAATAGTGGCTAATTTGTTTTAGTGCTTTTTTTTGTTGATTATTGTTTCAAATATAAAAATTTTAATGTATGCTACTTTTTCTATTATTTTATAATGGTAATAGGTTAATGAAAAAGTTTAGTGCTACCCATGAGGAAAATATGTGAAGAAAACTTTCTAAATCCTATAATTCATTTATTGAAAAAGCCTAAAGCCTAAGTTTAAAAAATATAAGAAACTCATTAAAGTCTAAAAATATAAGAGTATATATAGCATTGAATCTGTTAAGAAACATGTTTGAAGTTTTTAAATAAAAAAATTATCTTTTTAAAACCAGAAGTTTAATTATACAGTTTACTTATTTATTTTTTAAAATGTAACGGATGTATTTTTATACTCTGAATATTTGTGTTATAAAAGTTTGCAAGGATCTTTAATCTAGTGCACTTATTTTTGCTTATTATTGCATAGATGCCAACTGTTCAGAATTTTTCGGATTTGTTCCTAATTTTTAAATCAAATCCGAAAATCTGATATTTTTATAAAAAATCTGAATTTTCGTGAAACTGCAGTATTTTTGCTTTTAAACCAATCCATTGTTCTGATCGCCTCAGCTGCGCTTCCTGTGATTATTTCCCCAGAAGTTATTTTTTAGTAGCTTTTTATTGGAAAATACTATTCCAATAGCTGTTGCTGATCATTTCACTAAATTGAATCTTAAACAACTATTATTACTTTTTAAAAATTGTATTGTAGTATTTAAACACTTGCATTAGAAATATTTGTTTATGATATAGATTATTTACCTGTGTTTTATAATTTGGAGAAGAATAATTATATATCAATAGGTAATGGTTGTTTTTAAACTATTATACAGGTATTCCTAATTATAAAATAATATTATAAATTTCCCACAAAAGATGGAGTTTGTAGTTTTGTTTTACTAATTTACATAAATTTTTCTAATCTTTTGTTTTACTAATTTTATGATATTTCTGTTAATGTTATTATTTAATAGTTAAATTTTTGTCTTACTCTCATGATTGGTACATATAATTTTGTTGCATATAGTGTTCCTAATTTTTGATTCCTAAGGTTGGCAGCTATGTTATTGCCCATTTGTCAGATCAAATTTTTTAGATTAAATGATACTTTGCATTTTTAAAACCCCTTTTCACTTTAAAAATGTGTAATACTTAAAGGGATAAATGGGTTTGAAAAATGCAAAACTGCAGAAAAAGACAGAAATATGTTTTGTCTTTTACACACACACTTTTGTCACAAATATTGCTTTTGGAATTATTTTTGAAATTTTATTTGTGATTTCAGTATTTTTTTTTTCCTTTTCAGTCAAGTAAAGCTAAATTAGAATTTGAGAAAATAATTTGTGCTGAAATGTATAAAGATGCTGTTCAGGAATTCATGGGTTCACAAGATTACATTAGAAATCTCATTCCAGATTCTCTTCGCCTGTAAGAAATTTTTATTTGTAATTCTATTTTGATGATTTGTATTATAGTTTTTATGTATAGTTTGATGTACAAAATTATAATTTGTAGGATTAATCATCAGTTTATTTTCATAATATTGCTAATTAAGCATTTCTATAAAGAAATTTCATTTGTTATAATTATTCTTCATTTGCAAAAGTTAAATTGTTTAAAAGTAAACTTGTAACTTTTTATTCCTTGAAAACATTAATTTTATCCATGGCAGGAAAAGAAATAAGAATTGTTCTTTAACTCTAACTGTTTACCCCATGAGTAAAATTGTATGTAAATTTCTCTACTACACACTACTCTTCCACTGAATAATATGGGGAAATCTGGTTTTATGATGCAGGAAAGCTTGCAGCTAAAAGTTGGGAAAAAACCTAGACTGATGCTCAGGGGGTTAAATAAGCATAAACTTCAATTCTTTTTACAAAAGTGATGCTAAAATAACTAAACATGCTATTGTCATCTCACATTGTAGATTGGTGGCATTAAAAACATAAATATGACATTTCTTACTAAAGTATTTTTTGCTTCCAAATTAAAATGTATGTAATCTAAACTTATATACATATACTACTTTTTGAAATCATATTAAATCTGAAATTTTCTTTTATTAAGCTGAAAATGTGAAATATCTGGAACATTTTAAGATTCTTTTTAAGTAAATTATTTTAAACTACCACCAGTCAAGTCATTATTAGTCAAAAATATTTTACATATAAATACTAAAAGTTGTGAAATCAATTAAAAAATTTCTAAAGGAATCCTACTTCAAAACTTTTAGAATTCAGTGCAAGTTCTAGATTACTAAGTTCAAGTGAGTGACTACATAAGTAAATATATATAATGAAAGAGAACAAGTAGGAAAAAACTATCAAGTCAAACTATATCTATATATATGTGTGTGTTTGTGTGTAAGGAAAAACATACTCCATAATCAAATAACATTATCCTCTTTGATTAAATTTACCTATAAAGTAATTTTTATCAAAAAAGTAGCTTTTATGACTTTATGATGCAGTCAAAAAGCTTGATTATACTAAGAGACAGCTGATTAGTTAAATGAAAATATTTTGTTCCATTTTTAAGATAAAGCTGTTGAAAAACCAATTAAAACAATTAGCTATGTAATTAATAACATTGTAAATCTTTATTTTCAGATCTGGCCACACAACATCTGAGAAAAATAAATTCCTGTTTGATAAACCTTTATCCGATCAGATGAAAAGTATTCTTATCAATGGTATGGTATATATATTGTTAAATTTGTTACATTTAAGTTAATTTTAGATTTATTTTGAAGTTTTTTAATTAAAAATGTTTTGAAATATATTCTTTTTAGGTCAACTCTTAACATACCCGATGTTAGTTAAAAGGTTAAAATCTACCCCAAATATTAATGATGCCTCAGTTGAGCTTCAACTGAATCAGTTGGCTGTATTAGTAAGAGGCTGTTGGGCTGTGAAAAGGTGAGATTTTTTTTCTCATAATGTATTCTCTTTCTCATAAATGTGAAATTTTATTTGTTCAGTTACTCAAATTAACGTATAATATAAATTAATGTATAATATATCGTTTTAAATAAGTTGAGGTGTAGAACATAAAATTTAATATTGTATTTTTCCAATTTATGAATAGCAAAAACAAATACACAGTTTTCCATTCAGAATTCTTTTTTTTTTTTTTTTTTTAAAGTGAAGGAAAAAAATAAATACAATGAGGTCACATGCTAATGACAAGAGAGAAACAAAAGAGAAACGAGAGAAACAAAATTATTTTTAAAATATGATTGAGTAAGGTGAGTGTGTAAAACACTAAAACCTGTTAGACTGTCAAAATAAATAAAGAGAAGTTATGAGGTGATTATTAGAAGCACTTATAAGTTTGAAGCACCAATAAAATAGATTTTAATGTTTTGATCACTTAACAGTGAACCATCCTCAATGATTTGTAAAATTTTGATACCGTTTTTGTATCTTTTTTGTGTAAATATTAACTTATAATTCTCCAATGTGAATATTTTTTGTCTTCATTTTTAATAAAAATTTATAAAAGTGATCATTACGGAATACCTTTTATATTAGGATTATTTTGTCAAACTCTTAGTAAAAATTTAATTCATTGCTTGTTAGGTATGGGTGCCCTTTAATAATGTGATTGAATGGAACCACTTTGCTTTTATGCATAAAAAGTAGTATGATTAATAACAAATTTAATGGTTAGATCAGTTTTTAAACTCAGAAATTCATTTTCAAAATACTTAGAAAAAATGTATTTTGTCTTAGTTAAAGTCAATACAATTTTGCGAATTTCTTCTGAGTAGCACTTCATGAATACTGGTTCTCCTTAACAGTATTGCTATTGGTACGAGGATATCAAAAGCATCAAAAATCACATTTTTCTTCATATCAAATCTATTTCTTAATTTTTATGTTGGAAAGTAAATAGTTATTTATGAATATTGAAAAAAATTTGAAATCTTCTACAAAACAGCTTTAAAAATGATAACTCATTGTAAACTTTGAAAAATATGACCTTTGAGTTTAATTCTATTGAAATCAGTTTAAAATAAAATATTTAGTATTCTTTGTATTATTAGTTTTTTAAAGAAAATTTATAATTAAATCTTTTATTTATAATTTTTGCCAATTAAAAAAGCTCACATGATCTTTGTGTTTGTTTTATTGTTATTCTTTAAAATATTCCTATTGCTTAAAAAATTAAGTTTTTTTTCTAAAAAATTATTTTAAACAGGTTAAAATTAATAAATATAGGTTTTTTTCCATTTATTTTAGCACCTATTAGATTTTTAACGCAGTGTTATTAGTAACTAAATTATTTATGTTTAAACTATTATTTTTTTAATGAGCTATCTTTTTTATAGTGAGCTCTTGTATGATGAAAAATATATTAGTCCTTATACTGGCTTTCCAAGGAATGTGTTGATAAATGCCAGGGATTATATGGTAAGTTTACTGATGTTAATTGAAGATTAGTTAGTTTTAACTATTCTACAACAGATAACGAACAGATAGATATTTGAATTTTAATTTTAGCAGCTATCCTGTCTACCGTATTTCCTTTAATATTTCATTATCTTAATCAAAAATTTTAGCTTATAACATATTTGATTTTTGATGTTCAGTTTAATAGCATTTCAGAATAAATGAAATATTTTACTTTATGTTGAAATGTTGTAGATGAAATGGTGAAAATGCAAGTGAAATCAGTATAATGTTTGTGGAATGTGCAGTTATGAAATTCTAATAAGTTGCAGCAATACTTTTTAAAAACATTTTAATAAACAATTTCTTATAAAAACTGTCTTATATTTTCTCATAAAAACTATCATGTTCTGACAATATTATAGCTCAATAAATAAAGGTCAAGAAAACTGAGATGGGCGCAGTACGCCTTGGCTCTCTATGGGCTGTCGCGCCACTGATTTTAGTTTAGTTTAGTTTAGAATATTACCTTAAAAGTAAATTAGATGTTTGCTGTGGGCTTTAGAAATTGGTCCTATTATGCATAAGAAATAGTAATTGCCACCTTTGAAATTTTTCATTGAGTTACTGTTCTTTTTCGAAATTTAGAATATTTTGTGATTCATTATTATTAATCGAAATATTTATTTTTAGCTATGGTTGTTTACAAAATCATCTTTTATTACAAGGCAAGAAGTGCTTTCTGCAGTTCAAGTAATCAGTTTTATAATTTATATTATCATAATTTTTTTTAATGGTGAGACATCTTAATCTCTCTTTCTTTATAGCAAATAATTACTCTTCAATTTATATGTAATAATAAACTTTATTAAGTAATCACAAAAATTTCATTCCATATCTAATTGCTTGTTTATTAAAAGTGTAACAAACTCGTGAATCATTCTCATGCAAGCAGTAACCAAGCTTTCACACCATACAATTTTTATTATCTAAGATTATCTTATTTAATTTCTCTAGTTCTCGGTCAAGTCATTGCAAAGACAGGATCAGAAATAACATTATTTAAGATATAATAACTTAAAAGTTAAGAAGTTACAAATTTGCACTAAATTCTCCAGGTGCTGCTTATTGGTTTTATTATTTTTTTAAATGTCTATGTTTTCTAAATTTTTTTTATCTCTTTATTAAGTTTAATAATGTTACAATTTTGGGTAATTTCTCTAAAACCTAATTTTTGAAAGAAGGTTTTGACTTTAGTTTTCAAAATCTAATATCATAGAGTGGATGTGGATGACCATTTTTTTTTTTTTTTTGACTTTAAAAGGTTAATAAATATTCATAACTAAGTATTTAAATGCCTCATCATTTCCACTACATCTTTCCCACTAGACAGGGATCAAGGAGTGGGTTAATTTTTGATTATTTGGAACATCAAAATATTTAGTTGTGTTCTTTATCTTTCATTTCTATATTTTCAGTTACATTCTTTTTTTATTTTTGTTAAATCCTTTTTGTTTAAATTATGTAGCATGAAATAAAAAAATAATGAAGTGAAATGTTTTATATTCTGCATTAGATTCCAAGTAGAGACTTTGAAAGTATTGCTACTTCACTTGCTGTGAAAACTGACAGATGTTGGCAATTCAAATTTCCTGATGATCAGGAATTTCTTGAGAGGTAAAAGTTTGACTTTTTATTGTAGCATTTTTATCAACAAGCTTTTGTTAAATTAAATTGATTTTGTTTTGCTTTTTAAAATGAAACACATTTTATTTTTTAAATGCTGTTTAAAGAGAAAAATATGCTAATTATGTCTAATATGCTAATTATGTATCTATATAATTTATGTCTTTTTTAGTCATGTTTTTTTCCCCTTGTTGCATTGTTTGTTCTTAGATTGTGTTTAATTATTATTGTTGACTTGTTTACAAAAGATATTTTTGTTTATAGAAAATATAATGTATTTAACATTGCTTTTAGAAAGATCAAATATGTCTTTAGAAGTAATTTTTTTTTCATTTTGTCTAATAATTTTACTATGAATAATTTTATTATTTTAAAATTTTAATACTCATTAAGATAAATTTAATAAAAGTAATAATTTTTATGACTTATTTATATTTTCATGAAACATTTACCAACTGAAGTTATCCTTTTTCAGGAATAGTTGTTTGCATTATTTGATTTTATATTATGCATGATTATTCTCAAATTGTTGGCAAAACATTACCAATTTGAACAATAATGTTGTCTTCTTTCTTAAAGAATGACTTAGTTTTCTCTTCCAATCGCACTCTGGAAAAAGTTCAGATTTCCAGATTTTTCGCTAACTGCGATCCAGAAATTCAAGGTCCAGAAGTTTCAAGAAATAATCAATCACATTTATGTATAAAAATTCTTGTATATTTTATTTAAAAATATTAGAACTAGAATTTGTACTTGGCATCTCTTTCATTTGTAAATATTTTTTTCTGGTAGAATAATAAATGTGATTAGAGGTAAAAGTAATTTAAATTATGCTGCATATAATTTATTTAGAATTTCATGTTGTGAAAATATCAATGATTTAAATTTATAAGGACATTAATTTTTTTAAATGCAACATTAATGATTCTACTCAAGAAATTTTCAGGATTTTTCAGTTGGGCTCACAATCACCCCTGCAAAAATCAATGTCAAAATTTTAGTTAATCTCATCATCTTGAATTTTAATTGTGTGACTTTTGTGCCAAAATTGTTTAGCAATTGAAAAGCTATCTCTGCACATTATTTTATGTTTCTTTATTTCTTATACTCTCTCTTTCCCTATTTGCTAACTTTTTCTGACCATTCATTCACTTGCATTCCATTTGTTCATCATGTTCTTTCACAATGAAGAGAAAGTTGTTCATGCAAAATCATAGCTTATATTTCTGTATATGGTGTTTTAAGAAGTTTAAAATTTTTTAGTACTTATTCCTTACAATGGGACACCAATTTTTCTAAAATAATTATTACATAAAATTTATTATGATTTTTAATACAATGTTTATCAATGCCATGAAACAGTAGAAATTTGCAGAAATGTTCAAAAAATTTAAGAAACTAAAATTAAATGCAGAGCTTTGCTTTTATTTGTTAAAAAGATTATATCTTTGAAAATGTTTATTTAAAGTTAATACTCAGTGATTAATAATATTTGAATAAAAAATGAAATTTGAATTTAACTGTTCCAATTTTAGTCATCCTGACATTGCAGAACGCCAGGCCATGAAATGGGATCTTCGTTATAAAAAGCTTGTTAAAGACTTGAATATTGGAATGCAAGATTCAAGTGGTAAGAGCTTTTGTATTAAAAAATAAACACTTTACTATGTTAATTAAAGTTGTAGTTGTTTGAAAATTCAGTATAACTTTAATTAATTGTTAACTTATAAAAATTTTACTTTTTATAATGTTTTAAAATTGTCTATTTAGAATATTTTTTGATAATTGTTTAAACTTAAGCCTGAAATTAAGGAGAGGTCAATAAATCTTTAAAATAATATACCATATTCAAAAACAGTTTTCATAAAAATAATTTTAATAGCTTTTAAATTAACCTTTCATGTTCATTATAATTTATTTTTAAGTATTACATCAATGTTTTATGAAACAATTTAGCTGAAATTATTTTACTTAATTCACTTTTAAAATGATTACTTACAGGTTGGATTGTTCAAAAAAAAACGGATAAAATTTATTAGCAAGTGGCAAAGCTTAAACATTTATTATCTGTTTATTTCAGCTGATCTAATTTAATGTATGCACATTTGACATGAATCAAGTGAAACTTTTTTTTTTCATAAAGTGGTGATTGTATCTGTTATTCATAAAATTATAATGATTAAAACATCTTAAGACTTAGAAAAGAAGAGCTGAAATTTTAATATAAAAAATTATAAAAAGAAAAAAAATATATAGTCATTGTGAAAAATCCCTAAGTTCGTTTTGCTCATTCAAGTGACTTGATGCCCATTAAATTCATCAAATTGGTTGTTCTTTACCTCATCTGATATGGTATGGTCAACAGTCATGGCCTCTGTTAATTTGTAGAGATGTGAGTTTTTCTTAGTGAACTTTCTTGCATGTCTATACTCACCCAATAACTGAGTACCATACAAGAATTTGTTTCAGATCCTGCACTGATATTCATGGAGCTGAAAAATAAAAATTAGATATCAGTGATTTCTGGTAACCAATTAACATTAAAAACTGGTACCCAGCTAACGTATAGTTAGCATAATAATTTTAAATGAATGAACCCCATTTTTAATTTAGTATATTTTTCTTTTAAGATTTTGACAACACAAATGTTCTTTTTTATTGAATTTTCATGTAGTTCAAGTTTTATTATATGACTTACTAAAATTATATATTGTTATTTTTTTATATTTTGGTTTCTAGGAGGCCCTTCTAAAACTCCATTTGTGGTTACTCCTCGTCCTAGACAAAAGCGTCATTCGCGTAGCTCTCAGAGTGAAGGAGATGAAAGTGGCACAGATAGTATGTATGGAACCAAAGATTATAACAAATCTAAGCGCTCTTGTGCTCCTAAAAGAAATAGCCTTGCTAGTCCTACAAAGCAAGGGTCAAAGGGAAAATCTTTTAATTTTGCAACATTAGAAATTTCACCTACGTTCTTAGAAAATTCACCTCCCGCTGATCTCATGGCTGAAGTGAAGGAATATGTAGGTGACATAATGAGGACTCAATATTGCATGAAACTAAATGAAATAAAAGAACTTGTTTCCCAAAGCCACTTAAGTAACATTGCAACTCGCAGTGATTTTGAGAAGCTGCTAGAGCAAGCCTTAGTGGAGTGTGGAGCACAGAAGCTAAAAAATAAGGTATAATTTTCAATTACCTTTTTGAACCCTAATTTTCAATCATCTATGTTAATGTGATTATTTAATCCTTAAATCAGCATTTAAACAAAATATTATTTATTGTTGAATTTGTTGCATATAACAAATATTTGCACTTAAACCTCTTTTTTGTGCGAAATTTTTTTTTTGTTGTGTTGTATGAAAATTTTAATCAAATTGGAACATAATTGGCAAAGTTATTAATAAAAAAAAATAGGTTTGATCAGCCATTTAGTGTCTTTGATTTTTGATATGTATTTCATCACATTACATTAATTGCATGTAAATAAATGAAATGTGCAATAGCATATTGCGATGAAATTCTCGCATAGCAAAGCAAAGATGCATTGTTTGCGAATAAACATTGAAGGATATCTGCATCAAATTAGTTCGGGGTTTTTCTGAAATGAACTTCATGTCTCGTTAGGTCGCTAAATTGGTTTTTTGCTAATGAGATAGTGGGCAGCTAGTCTCTTTTTATTTGTAAGGCGCAGGATGAAATTTGTTATTTAAATGCTATATATGTCTCAAAACTTGAGAAATTAAGCTCTAATTATTTAAGCAATAAAAAGCAAAGTTTTTAAAACTTATGCATAACAAAAATTTGATCTTACAAAGTGGCAATAGATATTTATCAAAGTATAATTTTTGCTTGTTTTGATAAATTGTAACAATTCCATTCTTGCAGATTTGATTATAAAAGGCAGCTGATTTTATAATCTAGGGATTTTAAGTGGCTGTCATTGTAGAAACGTTTTTAGCTAAAATAAAAAAATTTTAATGATCAAACTTTTTTTTAAAAATAAAGGCAATTAATGTATTTTCAGTAATTCTAATTTCTCTAAAAAAAAAGTAGAAAAAATAAAGTATTTGTATGATATACATAATTTAATTGAAACATTTGCTTTCATTCATTAGGGCCATTTTTTAATATTTTTCTTATGTTTGCCGCAAAGATTTACTAAAATTTTTTATATCTGTTAAGTGAAAGAGAAAAAGCTTTGCTTTAACTATTGTATACAAATTACTGGATGCAAAATTTTTTCTAGTATTATTTTTACTTGAGAATTCATGTATATATTTTTTAATCAAATTCTTTTTTAATTGCATTTTTGCTATATTATGTTTTTTCATTACGGCTTTATGTATTAACCTTAATTGTTTCATTAACTTTACTTATTTGTCATACAAAAAATTTTGCAATTTGTACTAAGTTAATATTTTGATTGAATATTATAGTGGCCACAAAATACAGTTCCTGAAACATTATATGCCTTTGCCAAATTTGAAAATAAATTAGATAGGGTGAGTAGAGCTTATGAAAATTTTTTAAAAATAATTTTATTACAGCTGTTGTTTATATTTGTGTTTTTTTTATGCGTTAATAAAATGTTTTTGTTCGGACAATTCCTTCTTTAATTTGAATTATTTATAGGAATAAATCTGCATTGTACTATTTTTTTTTTCAGTATCGGAATGCTTTATTAGACCTATTTTGTTCAACTGCCAGAGCTAGAATGAATCTTTTTGTTAAAAAAGTAGAGGATGAGCTTAGGGAAATAGTGTCTGAATCAGATTGCAAGCTCCTCTTTGAGGTAATTTTATGATTTTTGACATTGCAATTAAATATTTGTTAAGATTATCACGATTTTTTTACTCAGCTTTTTAAATTATTTAATATTTTTGTTAAATAGTATTTTTAAAATTTGTTTCATATATGAAGTAAAAGTAATATGAAATTCAGATGCTTTGAAGTTTAAACTTTTGAATACTTTAGATTAAATACACTGGTGTGCCAAAATTAAAGAAAAAGTGGTTTTTTGAATGTAATTTTGAACAGCAGTGTTGAAAATCAATAAAAACCATACCATAGGATCCTCAAAATGTAAGAATGTTGAAAAGAAAAAAACTTGCAAAAAAAGAAAAATCTCCAGGAACTATAAGGAATTCTATTGAAATATAGGTTTAAAGCACAATGACCAACATTACTTAAGATATAACAACACAAACAAATACCAAAAAGTCAATGTTACACATGATTGGCAAGGAAATTCCAGTCTTTAGTATGGGATATGATCACCTTCGACTGCTATGCAGGATTAACATCGTCTGCCCATGCTGAAGACGCTCTCCTGTTGTCAGTTGTCTGTTCCTTCTTGCCTGTAGTACTAAATATGGGTTGTCCGCTGCCTTGGTAGTGCAAGGACGACAACTGCTTAGTCTCCAGACAGCAGTTCCTATCTTGAAATGTGTTCCAAGCTTGTGAAACGATACTGTGTGTGATCCCAAACTTAGCAACACTGGTCACACTTCGACCTCCTTTCAACTTCCCAATGATTTGACCTCGAGTGAACTCATCCAGATGACGTCTTTTGTGTTTGTTATCCATATAACACAATGACAACAAATTCACTTTGTTTAAACTGATGTTTTACCATGCAATACCATTCACAAAAATACTTAGATTCCACCGGCAGTTTGTTTTATTTCCTTATGTCACGTAAATCGGTGTGTCNGTCTTTGTCCGAGTCACTAAAGATTTTCGACAATACTATTGAAGAACTAATGTCTGTGCCTGGACCATCTGGTGACATAATAAGGAAGAAATGTGAAAACGTCATCTCTGCAAATACAGACTTTGAATGCATCAAGGACATTGCAAAAGTACTTTCTGGTGATACTACAGTTGAACTTACCATATCTCCTACCATGGCAAGTTGTTTTAGGTATGCGCCCATAACTTCTGTCGAAGTAGAAAGATCCTTCTCTTTGTTTAAAACTATATTGACTGACAGGAGACAAAATTTCTCTTTCGAAAATTTGAAAAAGCATCTAGTCGTGATGTGCAACAACAACCAATCATCAGAATAAATCTGCATACAATATTATTGTAAGTGCGAGTTTTCAATTTTTATTTCGCACCTACGCAGTTGAGGGTTTTTTGACAGTCGAGTGAAATGAATATGTAGGTATACCGGATACTTCCAGCAACTTTTTTTATACCTTGGATACCTATATGGGCTTTTAGGCATTACCAACTACCATTTTGCTCCAATTTTAAGTGCCTTTTTTAAGTGTCTATTTCAAGCTTTTTAAATGCCTTTTTGCCTGCCTATTTTTGAATTTTTTATTGCCTGAAATTCCGGGCTTTAGTTATCATCCAAGAAAGTGAACTCAGAACCCACAGCACCCCGAAAAAAATGCATATCAGGAAGGAAAACCTTCGTACAACAGCAGGCACCAGTGACTGAACCGTCTTGGAAGATGTGTAGATCAGTATGGGTACCAAGCATGATACTGTTCCATACCAGAACTCTGCCTCTTTCAAATCGGTCCCTTTCGATGATGTTAGGGAGGTTATTGTGTGTTCCTCCCTCTCTCCAGATTTCTATGTGTCCAGAATTACTGGGTAAATCTGCTTTCCTCCATAAAGAGTACTCAGTCCCACTGCACACTGGTCCAGTTGTGTTCCTGGCACCACATTGAACATCGTCTCCGAAGAACTGGCATTAATGGAAAACAATGTGCTGACTGTTGTGAAGACCACCTTCGTTTAGTCTCCTGGCCATGGTAAAATGCGATATTGGGCATCCAGTTCTTTGCTGTTTGTACCTAGGGATGTCTCCTGCTGTCAGTTGTCTGTTCCTTATAGCCTGTAGGACTAAATATGAGTAGTCTGCTGCCTTGGTAGTGCGAGGACGACACCTACTAAGCCTCCAGACAGCTGTTCCTGTCCTGAAATGTGTCCCAAGCTTTTGAAACGATACTGTGGGTGATCCCAAACTTAGTCACACTGGTTATACTTCGACTTCCTTTAAACTTCCCAATGATCTTTTGTGTTGTTTGTTATCCATATAACACCATGACAACAAATTCACTTCGTTTAAACTAATGTTATACCACGCAATTCCATTCACAAAAATACTTAGCTTCCACTGCCGGCTTGTTTTATTTCCTTATGACACGTCAATCGGTATGTCATGGTGCATAAATGCAAATTTTCTACTTTACCATGATAGATCTTCTCAATGACCTTTCCTTCTGTTGTAACTGCCTGCTTTGCTGTTATGCTAGTTTTTTCATTTCATCCTTAATTTTTGCACACCAGTGTATTTCATTTTCCATTGCTTTGACATAAAAGGTATCCAAGTAGCTTGCTAAATCATATTCAGTTCAACTACGTTGTTGAAATGCTAAGAATAACCACATCTTGTTTTTTTATTTTACCTGAATTGAGGAAATGAACTAGAATTTTGAAACATGAAATAAACAAGAATTGAACATCAAAATAACTAAAATTGTGGCCATCATTATTAAATAAATGGGGGGGGGGATGTGAAGGATATAATTTCATAATTAGTCTTTGAGTGTCATCCAGGGGCTCAAAACAAATTATTGTTTGTTGGTACCAGATCTTTTTCGTATTTCAAATTTCCTAACTCAAATGTATCGGTTAATAAATTTTGTCAATTATTTTCATGATGAACTAAAATTCAGAGCAAGTCAAAATGAAGGCTCAAATTTCATAGCTATGGTATTCAAAATTTATTCAATAAAAATATGCTTATATGCAAAGGTGTTATAAGCAAGTTTTAAATGATCGCAAATTTATGGGTTACTGTGAAAACAAAACAGACAGGAAAATGCCTTTGAAAAATAACAGCATGAATGGTGGATTGGTCAAGTATTTATCGCAGACAATTCACTCTTGCCTTAGCCACTGAGAATCCGAGATCTCACCTCATGAGGTTTCTTAATGTGGTGGTTCATAAAAGATTGTGTTTATGTGCCTCCAGGTCTAACTACCTTGACAGATTTGAAAGCCTGTATAACAGCTGCTTTCACCAGCATTGATACAGACATGTTGCATGAAGTTAGGTAAGAATTACATTTCAAATGCTGTACATCAAAAGGAGCATATATAAAACCTTGCTTATGTTATTTTTGCATTTTGATTAATACATTTACTACATTTTGTGTAGTGCTCCTATTTAATTGAGATATTCATTTTGACTTATCTTGTATACTTTTGTAAAATTCCTTTATAGGCAGTAATATCAAATAGCAAATTTAGTATACTTTTCCCTTTTCGTCGTAAAGATTCAAATAAACATAATAAGATTTGTTATGTTTTTATTGCCCTGATTTTATGTATGAATTATACATTTTATTATATCTTTTAAATATATGATTACAGTGTTTAAATTAAAAGTGAATAAATTCCTGTATTTTTCTTTCAGGAGTATTGTGTATACAAATCTGGATTTTATTATTTAAAAGGAACAATTGCCCCTGACTCTTAGCACTTAATCAAATCATTATATTTGTAAATAATAACATCAATGTTTTATTTATACCATTGAATAAATCCTATCTTTTTGATATATTGTTTTGCTATTTTTATTTCAAAAAAGATTGTTGATATATTTAGTATAAAGAGTTATAACATCTTTAAAAAAATTTATTTGTTTTTTTCCCCTCCTTTACTTTTTTTTCTTTGCCACTACAGGAAATTCTTATCTAAATTTACTTTTAAAAGTTCGCCATTTTTAGCATTATAATTCAGGCCATGTTTATTTTCCGTGTTATTCATGCCTCATGTTTATTTTCTAAATAATTTTCAGTTTGATAGATCATTTGGTATTGAGAAGAGTTTATTTAAAACAAAAATAATAATTGTAAAAGAGATTATCTTAGATTTATTTTATTTTGTCTTAAATATATTTTTTCCAAGGTTTTTAATTCAGTAAGTAAAATAGGTGTTTATCTCACTATGTTCGAAATTCCATAAATTCTGCTTCTTTACATTACAGAAAAGTTATTTTCTTTCTTCAAAACTTTTTTTTTATTATCAAGATTGTGCATTTACAGCTTTATGTAATTAGATAGTTATAAGTTTTATGTGCTGTTTTATATATATTTACAATTCTATAATTCTATGCATAGTTGGAGATAACATGTAATGGTATAATTTATTCTGCATAATGTAGAAAAAAAATTATAGTTTCCAAAAAGACATTTTACAGTATTTAAACCAATTTTGCACAGTTAAACTTATATAGCTTTTAGACATTGTACATTAATTCTGTTAACATAATTTTTAAATAGTGTAATTCACTTTGAATATGGCTGTAGAGCATACGTTTTCTGATATAATTGTTACTAATAACTTTCATGTCATTTTTTTTTCTAAATTTTTTTATTTTAATAAACATAAAATTAAAAAAATTCAAAAGAATAAATAAAATTTAGTTGAATTTACTTGCACAAGAAAATGGATAAGTCCTTTACCTTTTTTTAGGCAGCACTTCTTTTGTCTTTCTATAAAAGGGTTTCATATTCTTAAGATTTGAGTGTGACTTTTTTTAGAAATAGCACTTAAATCTTATGTCATTCCAAATTAGCCTCATTTTGAATTTGACTTCTAAAAATGGGTGCAGAAGTTTTAGTTTACTGATATAAATATAACTAAACTTTCATATCATAAAACACAATTTAGAATAGAAAGATAAGGAATTTACCTTTTTTAGACAATGTTTCAATAAGGGTGAATTATTCTTATAAATATCAATCAAATATTTCTTTTGGATTAAAATTTTCAAAACAGAAGGAGCTGTTTAGAAATTAATTGCATTAATTGGGAGAATGATAATATATTTTTGAAAGACAGCTGTATTCTATTACAATTATTTTTGTAATGTTTTTATTTTTATTCTATCGAAGAATTTCTGGAGACTTCTAGTATTTACTGAATAAATATAGCGTCAACTTAATGATAAAAATTTCTTGAAAATTTTACATAAATAGCAATTTAAAAATTAATTTCCACCAAGAAAAGCTCTTGAAAAAAATTATGTCATACGCTTTGGATCTGTGTATATATTTCCAGGGCTGATAGTGCTCCGGAAAAATTCCGGATTTTTTGCTAACAGTGATCCGAAAGTTTCCAGAGATCGAAGGTCCAGGAGTTTCAAAAAATCATTGATCACAGTTTCGGGAAATCAAAATTTCAAAGGTGGAACTTAAAAACACAATTTATTTCATTTGTTTGTAAGGGAGAGCCAAATACTTTATAAGCTATTCATGATTAATATTAATTTTTATCAGTAAATAGTTATTATAATCATAAACTCAGGAAAGAAAGATATTTATAAATTTTAATTACTTCTCCAGTTCATCATAGGCATGTGTAAAATTTTAAATGTATTTTAAGTAAACTAGGAAATATTGAGAAAAAGGACAAAAACCTTGTTTAAATTTTTTTCAATTTAAAATTTTTTTTTTAAACAAGAAATTTCCAGAATTTTAACTTGGATCACCCCTGTATTTCTAAAACAAGGCTGATAGTTCTTAAATTCATTGGTCACAAAGGAACAATTTAGAAATAATTTCACTAGTCAAAATTCATATTCTTTGGCCATACTATATTATACCATTTTGGTTTTCAACTTTAAATATTTCTAGAAATAGCAATTGACTCAAAAGCTTTTTGGTAGATTGCTTTGAAAGAAAGGGATAGTTAAGATGAAATTATTTTTTCTGATTTGTTTTTGTCTTAAATATTTTAAGCAACGGTCATTATTCAAAATTCTGCCATTTACTTAGAATTTTTTCCTTTTTTGTAAAGTCAGTTGAATATAAAAATTTTTGGTGAAATTGTTAATAAGTGTAATTTTGAAATTAAAGTTAGAAGTACAATATATCGCCTTAAATATATGACTCCAAGTGAAATGAATATATTTCTTTAAAAGTATTAACCATTATTCTATTTGTGAAATATTTGTAGTCTCTGAAATGTCCAAAAATCAATATTGCCTTACGATGTTCAACATATATTTAGTAATTTGGAAATTGTTGATCAAAATATGTAATTGCTTATGACTAATTAAATTTTTTATTTTTAACTCGTTATATTTAGCAAATTAAAAAGCTGAAAAAATATTTATTTTCTAACTCTTGCTGTGGCAGCTATTTTAAAGAAAAATGTGTTGGCATGAGTTAGAAGTGAAATGCATTCATCATTCTTAACTGTGTGTGTTAGTTAATTTATTCATAGGGGGGTTTTCTGGTAGAAATTTTTTTTAGCTGTGTTTTATTCTTTTTAAATATATATTATATTTATTTTTTGCATTAGTAATGGTCACTAAAAATGAGAATATTCTATTATTTATTCATGATCTCCACAGCACATTATTTTCAATAATGGTTTTCACAATATTTGTAATATAAAATTTTTTAAATAATGACCTCAGAGCTGAAGTGCTATCACCTTCAAATTGCTCGTAAGAGATTTAAGTGATTTTATGTGTGTAAAAAAGAAATGGGCAAGTTATTTTTTATTCAAGTGCAAACTCGTTTTCCTTGTCTATTGAGTAAAAATACACAGGCTGAGCATGAATATTTTAAATTCTTGAGATAAATTGGACATATAGGTTTATAGGGTCATTTTTATCTAGCAATGTTTTGTTGTTAAAATATTTTTGGAATTTAGTTTGATTTATAAAAAGAAATTAATTTGATATATTAATAAAATTATTTTTATTAAGAGCATTTTTTAGTGGGAATGTAGATGGAATTTTCAAAATTTTACCTACTGTATGGCCATTTTCTGTGCTAATAAATCACCAAATTCAAGTGAACAAACGCACAACAGAAAATAGCTCCCTGGTGTAGGTTTCTCTTCTTGATCTCACTCTAACCTTTACTCTGAATCACATTTATGTAAACAAAGCTCTTCATTGTTTTTTTTTCTCTTTTACTTTTGTAATGCTAAAGTTATTTGCTGATCTTAAAATTAATGAATTTGATATGAAGTATACTTCTTATGGTCTTATGAAGAGTTAATCTATTTCAATAACATAAATAACTTAATAATTTACAAATTATAACTAAATATGAAATTTTATAAATCAGATAATTGCATTTTAATATATTATTGCATTATTAAAATTTTACGTAATTTATCTCTCTCTAAAGAATGTGTACAGAAATTTAGATGCTCTGAATTTTTTTATAAAGAAACGTAGGGCATTAAGTGTTCAGCTTTTATAAATCTTAGTGTAAAAATTCGTTTTCTTTAGGTTGTTCTTCTAAATATTTAATCATAATACATATGATTCTTATGAAAAGTGAATTCATGAAGAGAGAAATTTGTATTCCCTTTTATTTTTACTGTGTCTCCCCATAAATCTTTGTATACATATAATTTCATATTATGCGTATACATAATTTTTAATATTTGAAAGTTGAATTACTCGCTGATTAAATTCTAAATAACAACTAGTTGAGGATGAGTTCTTTTTATTATTGATATAATAATTAAATTGGCTCACTTCAGAACGTGAAAATCGTATTTGAAAGTAAAGTAAGAGATAGTGAGGATTGCAAATGAATGTTTAATAGAGAAATTCTTATCTGAAAAAGAGCAAAAAATACTAATCTGTGTGAATCACTCCAATTATAAATTAATGACATAAATTTCCATTTCGTTCTACAAAAATATGGTTCCGAAACTTCCGATTCAATTTTCGACAACCCCTTCTGATTCAATTTCACCCTTAAAGCCTCATTCAGTATTAGTTTTTCTTTTTTCTTATTATTAAGAATGAAGAAAGATTAGAGGGAAGCTTTATCCCGAATTTATCCGTTTTCAAAAACTCGAGATTGTTTCACAAATATGATTTAATACATTTGTCTTTTTTTATTATCTCGTTTCTTAACTTTCTGTTATCCAAAAATATGAGAATGGAAATTGCAGTTAGCAGAATTAGGCATATCTAATAAGTGAAAGATAAAATATTTTAATGCAGAAAAATGTTATATTTTCCAAAAATTAAAGGAAAAAAAAATCTGATTAGAACTTAATATGAATGGATCAAGAACTTGAAATATAATCAGTTGAAAGACATCGCATGTTACCAATACTCTTTAATATATATAAATTACTTAAGTATGGAAATAATTTTGATTAGAAAGAAAAATAAACCGATGTCTAAAACAGGGTTCACCAACGGTTGAAGATCGATGAATAGCAATGCTATTGCTAAAATTGAACGCCTGTGACCAATTAGTTAGGCGTGAAAAAAAAAAACATTAAAAAGAACGTGGGCTCCATAGTAACAAAATAATCGAGAATTTATAATTTCTGGAGATAGTTCTGACATAAATGCACAGAGGAAACATTTAGACTTCATTTGAAGATTCATCTTTAGTGAAAAATGTTGCTAGATAAGGATATTTTAATGGATAAAAATAAGGAATAGTGCTACATTAAGAGATTTCAGTTTCTGATCTGTCTAAAATATTTTATAATTTATGCTGGCAATGTAGTGCCCTGTGGATGATTTCGTTTGCAACATTGAAGCCATTCTTTATATAGTTGTTCATTTACTTTAGGGAACACGTGGAAAATTATATTTTTCCCTTTTGTGTTTCTATCTGAATTTTTACAAATTGCAATCTCGCAACTGGCATTTCGTTAATAATTTTAAATTTTTGTAATTCACTACAAAAACTGAGGAAAATCATTATAGAAAACAACGAATGTCTTGGAATATGTCACGAAAAGGAATGCTCCAATATGCTCCAGAGCTGGTTCGACTGAACGCTCCATTCTTGAATTTAAAATTTCAGCTTTGTGCCGCCGTGACTTCACAGGGGAAAATCGGAGGTTTGGCACCGGTGACAGTTTCTTCAAGCCCTTCTATTTTCTCTTAGCCCTGGTCTATGGAACCCTCGACCAGGGCTAAGGACCTTTCGACCAGGGAAATCGACCTTTCTTTGGCGAAACCCCGACTTAATAAATAAAGTTCATTAAGGTAATTGTGAACGTTATAGCTAGTAAATGTCTATTTTTAAAATATTTGATTAGAGGAATGATGTAACGAAAATGCGCGTTAGTTACATTAAAAAAGTTCTCCACGAAGGCAAATATCTCCCAATACTTGATCCAGTAGTTCCCTTGTCTTCTTGATTGGGTTCATAACTACAAGGCTACGTAGTTGACCATTAGTAGACGTAAACCCAAAAATTGGGTAGGCTGTTCATCAACTGTTATATTAAAATATCTTGAAAACTATTTAAGCTGTGATTTTTATTTAGTAAATCGAAACGTGCAGTATAAAACAGCAGTAAATACTAGAAAATTATGCTCTTTAATTAGTCATTATTTTCACCCATAAATCATCCGCTATTTGTGAGTGCTTATTAATATGTGTGTTATTAGATATTTTATTCGCTTATGTGGGAACGTACATTATTTTTAGAAAGTAAAGCGTAAAAAAGCGTAGCAAAACGTAAAGTAAATAAATATAAGCTAATAACAAAGAGCGAAAGAAATATTTGTTCAATATAAAAAAGAAAGATGTATTTGTTCAATCCAATCCAATTAACTTATTCTCACTCCATCTCAGCAGAAGAGAAAATGGATATCTTTTGTTCACCTCGTCATTCCTTGCGAGAACGATAAAAGAAAAGTAGCCAAAATTGTTTCTTTACAATAATTAAAAAAAAAATGAGCCATATATATATATTTTTTTTTACAACGTCAATGTTCAAAAACTTCCTAAAAGAAATGATTTAATGATTCAACGTAAATTTGTTATTTTTATTTACTTATTTTTTTGATTGAAACATTTTGGCAATTTTAATATAATATTTTAAGGAAATCATATTAATCTTAAGAGCTAATTGAGATCAGTTCGAAAATTTCACCTCTACTACTTAGGTTGTCCCGTAACAGATCAGCCGCTGCTACATGGCTGACCCTCCAAATACTTGACATTTTCAAATCAGAAACTTCTTTAAAACGGAATATGTTTTAAAATAATCTAAATAATCTATGTATGTATATTTAAAATCTATATATACATTTAAAATAATCTCTCTCTGTATATATTTTAAATAATCCATCTATCTATATATGGGTAATTCTTCCGAAATATGACAATTCACAGTCTCATGCTCCAAGATCTAATACTATACTACTAAACGAACTTTTTTAAAAAAAATGTAATAAATTGCATTACTGTTAGCATTTTAAAATGACTTTGCACTAGCATTGACTGTTTTTTATAGTTAAAAAATTTAATTGAATATTAAAGTGTCATTTTCCTGGTTTGTCACAAACAATATTTCCAATAATAACTAGCTTCAAGACTTCCCATACATTTTTCAATATCCAATTTTTTTTTTATTTCAACCGTTGTAAGCATTTCTAGAATATATGCAGAGGGTATTATTTCCAAAAACTTTGTTGAAATTTTTTTTTCTGTCAAATGAAAATCAGTCATTTTCCTGGCCACTTTTTTTTAAGTAATTTATTATCAAAATATTTCCAGAAATCCAATATCTTAGGTTAGGAGATTGACTAGAATACCATCCTATCAGAACTTGTCTAATTGCAGGAATAAAGAACCAACTTTCTGAGACAAAATATATTTCAAAACATTTTACAAGGTGAGTAGGTTTTTATGTTGTCATTTTCCTGTCCTCTTGAAATCATTAATAACATAAACTTTACATTTACCTTAGTTATTTCAGGAAATCCTGATGATTTCTGCGGAAAGTAAACGTCTTAGGTCAAAATGTTAAATTAAAGTAATGTTAAGTGCTGTAAAATGGCAAAATTGTCATTATCCTGGCTGTTATTTTGTTGGCTTATAAATGCCAGGGCATTATAAGATAAGAAATTTTTTTAAACCCTATAATGTAAAGAGAGAGGAAAATCAAATATTAACCTAATACCCAGTTTATGAAAGATTGTAATATGCTCCGTGAGTAATTAAAGTTATTTATTAATTTAATGATTGATTATTATACACAATTTTATTCTGTACATATCAACAACAAAAACATTTTTGATTTTCTCTACATTGGATAAAATAATTAATTTAAACAAATCATGGTCCATCTAACGCAAAGGCGTTAGGTTACTTTTTTTTTCAAAACACAGTTAAAAATATAAAGGATAAACTAAGAACATCACTGTACAATTTAAATTTTGTCATAGTCTTTAAACGCTGCTTGGGTGTATAAATTAAGAAATGTAATAAAGTTGCAAAATAAAATGATTTAAAATATTTTAAATTTAAATAATATTTAAAAAAAATTTCCGATGTAAATTATTATAAAATAAATTTTGTAAATTTTTATAAAATTAATTAAAAAATTCTTAAGATTTCATTTTTATTGTAGGAGAAGTTTTTTAAGTCTTTCATTAAGATGCTAAAATTAACTTTATTATTCGTGCTGTGTATTTATTAAGTAGCTCGGGAAAAAAAAAACTTTGTCAAAATTTCTTAGAATATCACAAATTGAAAAATATCTGCTCCTTACCCAATATCTTTCAGGCAATTTGTTTCCTCTGAGAGCTTCAAGATTAATGAAATTTTAAAATTTTTTTTTTGCTTTCTTTGTTTTAACTGTTTCTTTGCAAATTAAAGTGTAGTAAAATTAAAAACTATCTTATTGTGTGCTAATCTCTCACTTTCATTATGCTTAACTAATTTGTTAAAATTGTTCCCAATAATTATTTTTGGAATTTATTTACATAAAAAGTTAAAATTAATTTCTCAACATAGTCTTTTTTTAGTTTCTTAAGTTGAGTTACTTACTATTAGCTTAAAATGAATGTTTTCTTAACTTCTAAGCTAATATGTCATTTTCCTGGCATTCAAAATTTGGTGAATTTCTATTTTTTTTTTTTTTTCTCGAGCAAGTGTCAATAAACTACACTGCTGTNTTCTTACCAAAGCATTTTTTTCCCTCTTTAATCTACATATTTAAAATAGTAGTTTGTTAGCTTACTTTGAAGTTTCAGTTCGCGGTTTTTTCTTATTTTGCGCGCATTTCTTATCATTTTGAAAAAAAGATTGCAAGACAGAAAAATATTGCTCGCTAAAACCGGGTTTTGCTCGTTAAAGGCGACTTCTGTTCCATAGACTTAACATTGATCCAACCAAATATTCTCGTTTCCCTCGGTAAATCCGAGTTCTCGTTAAATCCGAGCTCGTTATAAACGAGTTCGACTGTAATAAGGGGAACTCAATGCTGGCTGTTAAATCAATCTCCTGGGTGAGAAAAAGACAGGCTAGTTGCTATTAAACTCTAAAAATGGATTTAGGCAAAAGAAAGTGTGCCCCCCTCACGCTACTCTAATGCATATACATTCCTTATTTTAAATTTGCGCAGAAAATGAGCAAAGGAAAATCTTTTGCAATGATGAAGGATTTTTTACTTATACTTTACAGAACAAAATTATGCGTAACAAACCTTACACCAGACATTACCTGAACAATTCAATTTTTAAAAAAATCTTATATTCTACCTGCATACAATTTTACAACATTACAGATATTATCTAATTATGCATACTAACATTTTAAATACATTTATACGATATTTTTTATAAAATTATATTTACAATTATATTAATATGATTATATTTAATTACATTTGAAATACATTTTAAATACAGTAGAAATTATAATAAAAATTTTAATCCTTGGAATCATTGAGTTCAAGATTAAAGTTGGAAATTCAGTAATAATACTTTGGATTTTTTGATAACGGAAGGAGATTTACCTCGGACTTCTTAGCGTTAATGCATTTTCCTTACGGCCAATAAAATGATTTTTATGGTTCATAAGTAATAATAACCCATATTGTAAAAAAAAATAAAGATTTTCCGGTTCAATAAGAGTGTTCGTTTCGCTTAAGAGATGGCGCTGTAAAAATGGCACTTCAAACTTTTAATAGCACCAATGATAACTGTTCTTCCAAAGCAGACGATGTTTTGGTTTCGTTTGGTAGATAAAAGGTAAATCACTCGGACGGTTTCGTTTTTTAAACATTGTTGATTTTTGAGCGGAATTGTTTCAAATAATCGCGAATAATAGTTATTTATTATGGAGTTGCAAATTATTTGTGTTCCTAGGAAGCCTAATTAAAACAATGTCATTTTTGGATTCAGACCGATTTCATAAAGCTGCCAGAGATGGTTATTTGGATTTATTACAAGATGCAAATCGAAAAGAACTTAATTCTAGAGATGAAGATGGCATGACACCGGCCATGTGGGCCTCTTATTATGGACATTTGGATGCTTTACGACTTATAGTGGGTCGAGGGTAAGATATTAATCATTAATTGTTTAAATATTGAGAAAATTTCTCTAAAGCTACGTAGATTTTGTCACAATAAAAATGCTCCAAAATATTTAAATGCAAAATAGCAGGCAAAAAAAAAATAAATATGTTTCAATTAACACTTTTATTATTTTGTTATTTAAGAAAGATTTATTTTTATGGAAAATTCTTAAATCTGTTATGAAATTGCTATTTGTAATGCGAAAATGTCATTCAGTGAAATAATAAGTAAAATAAATGCCTCTAAATTTTGTAAAATTATGGAAGATTATACAGATTAATTCTTCGCAAAATTGGATAATTCTAAATTTTTTGAAATTAAGAATTATAATGTGACAAAGCCAATGCTTTTTTAAAAAATAAATAAGTATAATTTTTGTAAAATCTATAGAGAACGGTTTACATTTTAGTTGACATATGCGGTTTAGAAAATATTTTTCTAGGTTTTTGTTTTAGTTTTGTTTAGAAATATGATCATGAAGGTTTAATAATCAAGATTTTCTGAAAACTGCACTCAGTAACTCCTATTTATACTTATTAAGTGTAAATAAATAAATATAAAAATGAATAAGTAAATATAAAAATAAATAAGTAAATATAAAAATAAATAAGTAAATAAATAAATAAAAAAATATGCTTCATTATCATGTTATGAGATATATATGTGATAATTATATCTGCATGTACGGAATTTTCTTTTCAATACAAGCGATAAGAAATAAATATATATTTGACATTATAGACGTGAAATACTTCTAAATCTAGGATTTAGTGTAGTGTCAATACGAATAAATAAATTAAAATAATATCAAGTAAAAAAAATAGACATCAATAATTTTTCTCAAATTAAATTTTAAATTATACCCTGATATATGAAGTATGAAACGGGAATAATTTACCTTTTTCAACGAAAATAATAAGGCATCATATAATTGAAACACTAAACTCTTCAAATAAAAGTTTATCTAAAAAATAATTGTAAGACCAAATTTGTATGACGAAAAGCGTTGTATAGTTAAATATATTTAATGATTTTAGAGCATCACTGAATGTCTCAGCTGTAATTATAGTTACAAATTTACCTTCAAGAAATATCAAATATTGAAGTTTTTTTTTTAAAAATTGAATATGTTTGATAGCAACAATATCTGTGCATAATATTCCTACAAAACAATGCCATACTTGACCATACTTTAATGCTATTTTAATACTACCTTTGATATTTAAAATTCTTTTTTTGAAAAAGAAATTTAATAAAGACTAGTGCATGATGCACTTGTAATTAACCCAACAAGTTTTTTCTTAATAAAATTTGATTTAAATACTTTATTACATACTAAAATACTCCGTAGAAATAAAATAATTTAGATTTGATTTAACAAAAGAGAAGAATCTAATAAAATTTTACTTTTGTGATAAATCACATAAATTTTATTATTTGATTGGAATTTGACTGGATTTCATTTTCTATCGCTTAAAGGTGAAAAACTTCACGAGTAAAAAATATCATTATTGTTATTTCGGAGATAAAAATATAAAATTTATATTAAGATAAATATTTATATTAAATCTTTGTTTTGATATATATTCTCAAACTTTTTGTAGTCTAAAATAAATATTAACCCTTGACTAAAATTCATAAAAATAATTTTATCGAAATATATTTTAATGAGTTTCAAACTAATTAATCTACATCATTCTATTTGTGTTAACTGTTAAAACATAATTTTTTTTTTTTTTTTTTTTTTTTTTTTAAACGAAGATTTTAACGCCACATAAAAATAATATGAATATGGCCCTTACATCAGTTGGAATAAAATAGGACGGCCAATCTATGGTTCAGACTTTAAGATTCCATTTTCCCTTTATAAGTTTTCACAGAGATTCTTCTTAAGATTTCACTCAGTCAAAAGTGTTAAATAACTCGTATAATTTATTCGAAATGCGTTTCAATAAAGCATTCAAATGATTGTTGGTTATTCGCTTGTGTCAAGATTTCAAATGGTCGTCATGAATAGTAATTATATAAAAAAACTATGTATAAAAACGTACGTTTATATAAAAAAACTATGTATAAAAACGTACGTTTATATAAAAAAAACTATGTATAAAAACGTACGTTTTACAATTACATTATATTTTCATGTAAGTTTCATATTTTAAAAGTTACCATTCCAAACTTTATGATGAAAAAATTTTCAGCATTAGCGATAATTCCTACAAAATTTATTATCATCCCTATTTAAAAAGAAGATTAATTAATTATAATTAAATAATTAATTATAATCTCTGTAGAAAAATTTAAATTTTCATTTTACATAAATTTAAGTTAATTTCTACTTATTTCAAAAGCAATTGCTTATTTTTCGTCCTTCATATTAGTCATAAAGTTTATTCAAGCAAATACTATAAAGTTCTTTATTTAACTTATAAATATTTACAGAATTTAAAGGATTCTATACTATTATGATAAAAAAGTTAATTAATTTTTTAATTAATTTACTCTAGCGCGGATATCTTTATTATTTATTTTAATTTTATGTGTTTCGCTTTTTAAATGTATTGATTTAGTATTTTTCGACGACGAAATTTTTTTTTCAATTATTGAATATTAATTTTTAGTTATTCAATATTGTTGCTCAAGAAAAAAAGTGTTTACATTAGACAAGCTAGGTTTAAACTGTATCTATATGATTGAATAGATCGTTTCTTATACAGATTCGAAAGTGACACGTATATAGGTCTGTTCTCTGATTAATTACTAAAACTTTTAGTTAGTTTGCGCCGTATTTGCGAGCTTTATTGAGCCGTAATGAATCATGAAATTTTTTTTATTAACATAAGATGTGTGACGTCATTTTAACGTAACTTATTACTGAAAATTTTAATCGTCTGGTCAGAGAAATAATTTCCTCCCCCCTCCTTAGGTTTAGACTAGAATCCTATTGCCGTCGAGTTGAACGTGTTACGTAGTCGGCTGGGAGGCGATTTTCCAATCCAGCGGTCTTTAACTACTCACTTTTATTTTTGGCATTTTATTATGAAAGAAAAACCTTAATTCTTGGCCTTTTTTATTTTTAATTCCGATAAAAGAATTTTAAAAGAAATAAGACATTGCATTATAATTGAAATCAACTTTCATCCAAGAGGAAAGTCTCCAAAAAAGTGAACGAGTCGTAAAAAGTTGCTGGATCGTAAACTAATGGCCGCGATCATTTTATAAATGGAATAAAAATAAAATTTAGGAACAAAATATCGTAAAGATCGGAACTTCTTATATAACAAAATAATTATGTTTTATTTAAATTCAATACTGTTTAGATAGTTGTTTTCAATATATCATGATATATAAACATAAGCAGAGAATAAGATAATGATTTAGCACTTCGAAGACTCAAAAGAATAAAATTTAATAACGTGGTTCTTTTAGACTTAGGTTTTTCATTTAACCAAAAGAATAAATAAAGAAAAACAGTGAAAAATTAAAAAAGAAAAATGAAAAATATGACAACCGAAGCTGACGTCGTCAGGGGTTACCAGCCCCAGAAGTCATAAATGCAAAACCTTTTCTATCGAGAGAGCACGACGAATGTTTAAGTTGTTCTCTCTGTACTCCAAAGGTTTTGCCAAGGTCCAGGTAGAGAGTACAATACAAAATGCAAAAANTGAAATTTTAAATATATATATATATATATATATATAAAAGTATGAAATCTAAACTAATACATAAGAATATAATGTCCAAAAATATACTTGAAAACAAATCCCAAAACAAAAGTACACAACTGACAACCAAGTAACTAAATTGAAATAAACGAAAAAAAAAACGCCCCTAATTTAATGCGCAGAACTAAGAAGAAAGAAAAGAAAAAGAACAAGAAAGATTAATTAAAATTTACTTTAGATGATAAGGTTTGAATGAATAGTGACAAATTATATATAAACTTAAAATGCATGTACCTCTGTAATAGTAAAATTTAAGCTAAGTAATAAATAATAAAATAAAGAGGTCAAACTATTACCTCTGTAATAGTTTGACCTCTGTAATAGTAAAATTTAAGAATAAAGTAATTTTTTGTTGAAAATTTTCAAATATTTTAAGGATAACAAGTTTATTATAAACTTTAATATGAATATGATTATTAAGTTTAATGTAAGCATGTAAATTAAAGAAAAGTGTTTATAAAAATTATTCTATCCATTTCATGACATTAAACTTTTTTTCAGTTTCATCTGTTGCGCAAACACAATTAAAATTCCATTTTTAAATGAAAGAAAAACAAGGATGTGCATTTTTTAAAAAGTTATTCATGCCTTAAAAACAGATCTGCTAGTTAGCGATGCGCTCAAAGGTGAAAATTTGTTAGAAATAGAAACTAAGAGAGAGGGGAAAACGTTTCATGGGAAACGGTTTGTTGATTTCACTTTTATTGGATGACCCTTTTAAAATTTGTATTAAAATAAATGAGCTCAATGTTTTAAATACAGCAAAAGAAAAAAAAAGCTCCCCTTCAAAGTATACAATAAAGCTTAACAAAATGATAAATCAATTTTTTTAAACAGAATATTTATTAAAGAAAGTGTTGCTTATTAAAGTTTAAATTAACGATTTATTAAAAATTTATAATTGACCTATTTATTATTGGCCGAATCATAAAACACACGCTAAAGGTGACACATATTCGACGATTATAGCGCTTTAGTCAGTTCTGATATTACAGAGTTTAAGCCAATTTTTTTTCTTCTTTTTTTTTTAGATCAGGGATGGGCAAACTTTTTTGGAAGAGGGCAAAAAATCGAAAAAAAAAAGAAGCTTGATGGGCTAAGTGAAAACTGTTGTCTGTTAGTCTACATCTGAAATGATTTTTTTTAAGATTCATAGTTGAAAACAGTTATTCACGTATATAACATGAAGCAAACATAGTACTGATTTCTTGGGCATGAAATATTAAGTTTGGGAAACTAGCTTTTGGAAATGATTT